GACGTCTCCCTTCCCCCCCCTACCCCAAGTCCCCTTCGTTTAACTCTTCTTCCCTCTCTCTTATCACTAAAATGGTGCAAGTCCCACACTTTTTTTTTCCAACTTCTGTCTTAAAACAACTTGGAGGGAAATGGTCATATTTTATCTGTATTTTATTAGTGTTTGATTCTTCTATTAAAGTTTTAATCGAGTTGTAGCATGTCTTCTTGTCTATAAATTAAGTTAAATCATATAAGAAAATATCTATTTGATGACATCTTTCAATTGCCACTTATCTCTTGTTTGTCATATTATAGCTTTATATATTAATGCTTGTCTTACTATCATTTAATTTATCCCCTAATTACATATTAAATAAGCACAGTTGACTCGCATTTAATTAACCTTCTATTAAAGGCCAACAATTGTCAAAAAAACCAAAAATAGAACTATTAAAACCGACAATACCTTTTCCTTGTGTGGTGGAAACAGAGAATTATATCAATGAGATCTTAAATAAGCTAGCTATTTAATTAACTAGCATGCTGTCTATTTAATTGCTTTCACTCTGAATTTTCTGTCATCTAGAGGGAGGAAACTGATCCGCTTCCTCATCATAGCTAGTTAGATTATAGACAAACCCGAGTATAGAGTATATATATCCGTATCTTATATAATTGGATTGAATACCTATTATCATTTTTAAGCAATAAAAGCAAATATAATTGGCAATTTTAATGCTAAAGTACGTATCAATCACTAGCATTATTAATTGAACTGACTCGGATTTCGGCTAGTCACCATAACAATATGTCTTATGAGAGTATCAGCACAAAAGTATGAACAAGGAAGAGAAAGAGGAGGTCAGCAAATATTTATAACAGGGACGTCAGGAACCGTTGGATTTTGTCCCCAAGTTGCGATGCTTTTTTCACGTAAGCTGCCAACTCATGGCTGCACGTGCATAACCCCGACACGCACTCTCATGCCTACCCTTCCCCCTCCTCGCGGTTGAAAAGGGTTTCACAGGATGGAATATTCCCTTCCCCCCCCCCGACTCCCCCCGGTGGCCATATCTATCTTCTGCCATTCCTCTTCCTTTCTCTGGCCTTTTAATTCAAGCACAGACTTGCACAGTTCCTCTACAATTCCCCATTGTGCAAGGAAAGCACTGTAGCCTTGCAGCTGAAGCGAAGTGATCCAATGCTTCAACATTCACGTTTCTCTCCCTGCTGCATTCCCACATGCAACCTTAGAAAGTTATTAAACTTTTAATCATTGGATTTCATCTCCTTATGTTGAAAAATGTATCTCAACGACCCTAAGTAAATAAATGGATTATATTGATTATATCAACTAATGTAGATTTGAAAACAAAATATATATTTGAGAATTACTTTGAGAAAAAAAAAAAGAAACTGACTAGTTGATTTGTCTATTAATTGATCGAGTGAATATAAAATTAAATAACTTTTTATATTATATAAATAATTAATAAATTGGCGTGTCACATGCCTACCGATGATTTTCAATTAAATTAAAATGAATCTAATAATGCAACCAAAATTAATAAAAATAAGTTGGAACATATATGTCACACAAAGGGTTCTTTCAAACCTTTTTAGATCTTGACGTACTCATCTTGACTTATCCTGCCATATTGCCAACAAGTAGTGGAATTAGCCATGGAAAATTTAGTTAAGCATGAAATTGGCATGATATTTTATTCTCAATATTCTACTGTTTAATTTCATTTAGAATAAGAAGATGATGATCACTTGGTAAGTGGTCCTTTCCTACATCACTTCACTGAAAATATTGTCACTTGTTACAAAAGTTTCATCCTTATATATATATATATATATATATATGTATGTATGTATAGTGTAATTTAGTGATGACGATGCCTCATCAACTAAATTGATTCCATATTGATTCAATTGGTGAAGCTGTAGTTAAATAAAAAATAAAACCTAACCGTGATGAGAACAGAACGAATTTTCATTATGTAATTAGCAAAGAATAAGGTGCTTAATCTCTTATTTTTGGACTGTTTGAACACCTAGGTAATCAATAATAAACTACCCTTCATTAATAGGAAAACGGAATGATTAGAATTAAAATGTTTGCGATCTGGTGCTGATTGAATGTGTTAGCTTTTGAAATTATTTATTGATAAATTGAAATCAAATTTAGTATTGTATGTATTCTATAATTTACATGTTTTTAGATACTTCGGTTACTATTGTGTACCAACAGGTGAATACTTATACGGTTATTTGTGAGCAGTTTAAATTTTTATCAAATTTTGTACTGTTATTCATTTCAATATATCTATTTAGTTTTTTTTTTAGAAAAAAAACTCTCTTGGGGAGTATACTTATTATGAATGTTACTATTTAATTACAAATTTCATATGTGCTTTTTTTTTGTTGAAAAGCATTCATATTTTCTGTTTAATCAGTGAAAATTATTTGTGAGAATGAATTAAGGGGCTGTTTAAATCACTTTTTTAATCATAATAATGGTAAAATATATGTAAATTATACATCAGCTGTGGTGGCAGGTAAGAAATTAGAATGAAACTGCAAAGAAGAGGGTAGCTCTAGGTAAAGAAATCGAAAAGGGTAGCTAGGGAGGGTGTTTAGGAGTGGAAACAAATCAATCATTTGAAACCGACAATGGGATTGGACTGCATCGTCCATGGTGCTGTATGTTGAATCAGAAACCAGGGCGTGTGGGCGTGAATGAGATGAAAGAGGAGAGAAAGCTAGCGTGGGTGGCGCTGACAATGCCCAGATGCCACCAACAAAGACCGACTCCCACAACTCACACCCTCAGAAAAGAAAGTTGCAAATGAATCACCCCAAAACCAAAACCAAAATAAAAAAAAAAAGCTAGCTGCACAGGCGGTCCTTCCTCCATTCGCTCTACTCGGGTCCAGTGGGAAGCAGGAGTCTGTATTTATGGCTAATGGGAAGAGATATTAGGTGTTTCTTTGTCCCTACGCCACACCACTACTCTAAGACTCTATTCACTTACATCCTACATAGCCCACACCCCAAATCCCATGAACCCATTTGATGCTTTTCTGTCGGGTTTTCCAATTTCTCTTTTTGCCATGTTTCGTTCCAACAGAACCTGTCTGGTTCCAAGACAAACTGGATAATCTAAACCATGGTTTTGATGATTAATGTCACTCTAATTTACATTCTTGTCTTAATTTTTCCATGGAACAGAGTCCTTGACACATTTATTTATGGTCACTTGGATCATAAATTTGGAAAAGGTTTCCATTATTGTTGTAGTAATAGATTAGAAGTATCCTTGAATAATTCTGATTTAATAAAAGCTTAGTTATATCTAATCTTATGGAAGCCGCACTTAGATATTGGAATAACTTACATGTGCTATACTATTATTAGTTGGTATCTACTGCTAAAAGGTCTTTTATTGACTTATCATAAGCTAAAATTTTGCTCAGATACTAATAAATTATTTCTTTAATTTTGCTTCTTTAAAATAAGTATTGGATTTGGAGATTCAGAGAGATTAAACGAGTCTTGAACTCATCACTATAGAAGAAGTCTTGATCTCAAAACCAAGCATGAATTTGGAGGTAAAAAGAACAAAGACGATAAGTAGCAAGAAAGAATTCGATGAGATTTTGGATATGAATATATATATATATATATATAACATTGCAAACTATATAAACAACTTTCCCTACTTGTGTTTATATATATAATATTTGTAATTAATACATTATTAATATATAAATTCAATATATTATCAATAAATTAAATGTTACCATCTCGCTACGAATAAATTTAAATATTCAAAATCTTGATAAATAAATATTCATAATTTTGTATATACATTGTCTTAAATAGCGTTTACTATGATTTGACAGGCCAGGAATTGAATCTTCAAGCTATACCCAAACTCATTTGAAATTTTGATAATACCACACATAGATCTATAGCTAGTAAATTAATCCATTTGGTGCAAAGAAAGATGTCTAAACCCAGTCTAATCCCTTTAGCTTATCATGTTAGTGAGGATTTAAATTAAGCTATTTCATATACAAAGTAATTAATTTATAGGAACAGAATTAAAAGGGTTGGTGATTGGACGAAGGAGAATCTAAATGAGAATGGTCCTCTCCGGAAGGACCGGTCCGCCTTATCCTCCTCTTCACGTTACTTTCGTCCCTCTCATCGAAATTAGCCAAACCCTTCTCTCTCTCTCTCTCTCTCTCTTACAAACAACCCAACAGATGAAAACTACCTTAATATTAAAAACATGTGGTTCATTGTCCCCCCCTTCAATCAATATAAGCCAGCAAACTAAGATATATATATATATATATATATAACTAGAAAATTTGTACGGTTATAGTAAAACAAACCATCGTTTTCTTAAGCGGTCATCGTGCCCTTTGATCATCTCCTTCACCTAGGTAAGGAAATCCAGGTTTTGTTCAACAACAACAGCTTTTGTTTGTGATATCTAAGCATTTTTACCACCTCTTCATTCCATCAAATTTTCAATCATATATAGTTCATTTCATATTGTGCTTTTACATGTGTGTATGTAATAATTTAAAATTGTATTGACATAAATTTAATTGATATAATGTTTGATGATTTTGATTAACTGATTTATATTTTAAATTGTCGGTAACATTTGATTGATTTGTGATTCATGTCAATGGTTTTATGATTAATTTTTTATAAAATTTTAAATTAATTTATTTGGAATAATTTTACCGTCAAGTTTACCAAATCCAAAACAGCATAGAGTTCACGGGATTTATGGAGGCAATTTCATTTAAAAAAATGAACCAACCAGTTGAATCTTGTGAAGAGAAGAAGAAGTTTAAGTCTTCAAAAAATTGAGACATAGTCTTCCCTTTAGAAAGAAGATGAAACGAATGAAAGAACCTAGAAAAACTAAGGGAGCTTTGGTCTAAATGCAACACTAATATTATTTTAATCAAACCCCCTTTTATTAAACAAATCAAAACCCATTATCTTGTCCAAAATTAACAATTATTTAAGTAAAGCTAATCCATCAAGAGAATGGACCACCTCAACGGGAGAAAAAAAAATGGGGGCTTTCACTTCCATGTGAGGGGCACCTATTGCTTCGAATCTAGCATTTGTGTTTGCATGTTCTCACTCTCTAAGAAGCCGCTTTATAGCCAAAGTGGCTTGAGATTGTTGCACCCATTTTCTTTGTCCTCCATGGGAAGGCCAATTGAAAGCTCTCATTCTTTAGTTAATTAATCGAACCACATCGAGCACTGGGAATTTTTTAGGGGCTAATCAGCCGACCAAAACTGAGGTCGCCATGTGATTTTGATGGCGATTGTTTTGGAATCATTGTTGTCATCTCTTTACCTGCTCGTATGACCTCTTTCAATTCAATCAACTAAGTGCATATGGTATAGCATAATGTCAACGGTTTCATTTCCACATTGATTGCCAAATCCAGGGTTTTTTCATTTCAACCTATTGCTTCGCTTTGAGCAATGATTTTCATATGAAATTTTTGTTCAAGGCTGGAAGTGACCCTTTTTCAGAATTCATTCTCTTTCCATTTCTCCATCTTAAATCTTGAGTTTTTCAAACCTTTTTAACATGGTTTTCTAGGATCTAGCTACCTTCGGAACCCATAAAAAATGGGTAGGGCAATCAATTAATTATGATTTTAGCATCCTAGAAACCTTTTTGGTCTTAATAATTTCTGCTAGGACAAGGTATCTGAAGTTCCTTTTGATTAATTTACAGAACAATAGGTTTGCAAGTGAGCCTTTTTAAATCACCAAAATGGTAATAAAAACATTATCCATATCTAGAAAATCAACTCTTTTATAAGGCAATGAAGTACAACTGAGAGGGGGGTCGGGATCCTTATATAAAATTTGGTTCCAACATATAGGGGAGTGCTGATTACTGTTAATTAGGAACCTTCTGCAAATAATATTTTGATTTCGATTGGAACAATTTTGGTAGATGGGCACTTGGAAAAATGTAGTTTTAATATTAAGAAAAAGATGGTTATAGCATGCACATTGATGTGTGATGCTCACGCTAAGAGAAAAATTGTCTCTCCAACGACAAAGTTTAATGATAACTTTGAGAGAAGTTATCTTCTTTTTTTTTTTTCTGCTGTCTTTTGCATTCTTAAAAGGCTATAGAGAGAGCATTTCTTTTGCATTCTATCGCTGTTTGACAAGGAAACTGAATATTTTAACAAAAGAGAAACAGCATGATTGCTTTCAACATGGCTATTGCTAAAACAGTGGAGAAAAAATACAGTTTTCGTGCCATGGCTTTCGACAACTCATTAAAATATGGGTTGAAACCAGCTTGGAGGACACTGAAATGATGGGCAATTTTAAGGAAGCAAATCTACCCATAAAGAGGGCTTTTGCCTAATGTTCTCAAAACAATACCTAATCTCTCAACTATGTACCTTGGGTTTGAACAAGACTTCACGGGGGTAGAGCAAAATTAATTGGCAGCAAAGTCTGAAAGGGTTCCTATGGGTTTTAGCAGAAATGCTTAATTAGTTAAGCATTGAAAAGTCTACTTGGAAAGTACAACTAGTCAAGGGTAGGCCGGTTTAGCCCAAATGTTCATGTTAGGCTTTAAGGCCAGGCCTAGTTGGCTATGAGCCACAACTAGGAATAAACTTTTTAGCTCTGTGATTGCAAAACCTATGTCCATAAAGCACATCTTACAAAATTTTTATTTTTTAACCAAATCCATCGAGCTCAGACTTGGAACTCTCTTAAAACCTAGCTGAGTCCAATCTCTTAAAACCTTTTTGGGCTTATGGAGTCTGGCCGTTGGCTCAATTGGATTGGGCTAATGGCATCGGACCCTTGCTCAAGAGCTAGCCAAGGTGTTTCGAGTCACGCCTACAGCATAGGATATATAGGTCAAGCGTTGAGCTCCAAATTCAAAGCTTTAACCCACAAGCAACATTCATGCAAAAATATCTAGTTGGCATTTTTGAATTGGAATGGATAAGATGTTGAATTTGGTTGATAGAAGGTTCCAATTTCCAACTGTTTATGAGCTTAGAAAGGACAGCGAAGTGGGGTGATGAGAAAACCAATCAATATATTAACAAATGGAAATAGAAAACGTGAACATTTCAAACTCATTTCTTTGTATTTTTGCCAAGGATAGTGTCAAGAATTCTTGGGGTTGTCACAAAAGTTGCTGTTTCTCGTGGCATTGCTACTGTGCAGTGTAGCTTTGCAAATTAACCCAATGACAAAACTTCCGGAGAGGCTATGTATGGACGAGACAAAGGATGGAGGACCCATACCCAAAAACTTGTCTTAAGCTTCTTGTGAGCAGTGTGGGCGTCGATGTTGATGTGAGGATGACAGAAAGGAAGGAAGACAAGGAGCACCATTGATACCGGTAGAAGGAACAATCCAACAAAACTTCTTACAAACTTGAAATTTAAGGGTCTACTTCAGTTAAAATTCTGCCCCCTTTGCTCACACAATCTGCTTCAATTCTACTTTAATCATATGGCTATGGTGTTATAGACAGCTCTATCAGGGACCAAAGCTAAATTACAGAGCTCTACTTTCAACTCATTACGTTTAGACCAAGCTTCAAATGATAAGGTCGTAGTTCTAGACAGAACATTAAAGAAAAAGAATTATAGGTACCTGGAGAATTTTCATGATTAAGCTTTATTGGCTTTTCTTCAGCTTCAAGTTGTACCTGCGGCCATCATTGATCGAAATTCTTTGAAGTCCACAAACCCATCTCCATCCTTATCAACACCTCTGATCATGCGTTTGCACTCTTGAAGGCTACACTTTCTGAATCCAAGGCTAATCAGAACCTTACGCAACTCTTTGGCAGAGATTAACCCGTTCTTGTCAGTATCAAAGATGTGAAAAGCATCCATGAGGTAATCTTCCTCGCTATTGCTACAGATTGCTCCATCCGTGTTAACTGCATGCATAAACTCATCCAGGTCGATGAAACCATCTCCATTGAAATCCATTTCTCTGATCATTCCTTCGGCTGCTTTGAAGGCTGTAGACTTTTCATGTCCAAGGCACAAAAGCACTTCACGGAGCTCTAAGGAAGATATCTTCCCATCCCCATTTGCGTCGATGACTTTGAATACTTGTCTAAACTGACCAGACAGTTCCATGGCCCCAAATGACGATGTTATCAAATCAAAACTTGACGATAACCGGCGAAGGTTTCTTCTCTTGCATCGTTTGACATGAAGAAACAGTTTCGCTCTCTTGTACAGAGAGATCCAACAGGTTTTGCAAGAACTTAGCATAATCCAAAGAGAGAAACAAAGAAAATAACTGGTAAAAAATGAAATGCAAGTTATGTTGGAGCTGAAAGCTATGGCTGTTTCAAGAAGCTTAGTAATTTGTCACATAGCAATCATTTTATGGGGTACAATACCATGCACAAAGACCAAATGATCCCCTTCTGGAAAGGATATTCTCTTTACCTTTTATCTTGAAAATTCGATAGAGAGCAAGGGCATGGATGGAGGATCAAGGATTATGACAGTCTTCCTTTTAACTTTGCGTTGATCAAGTCTTGTCCTGGTGGATGCCAGCTGAATTCATAATATAGCACAACCGAAAGGGGCCGGCATATTTCGTTTTCAACTACCCTTGTGTTTGTTTTTACACGTCGTGGCCTCCGCAGCAAGGGGAGCGATTGGCTCCAGTTCTTTTTTGGAAGGCAGCCTGTTATGAGTTCCTGTTTTTGTCCCAAAACTCCTATCCATTTCTAATGCATTTGGTGAGGAGAAATGATAGTAACTGCTGCTTCTCTCTTTTCCTGATGATTTGGGATTTCACTAATCCCAAATAAAGCAAAGACAAAGCTCAGATTACCCCAAGTTTCTGCACAACACTAGGCAAGCAATCTTGGAGAAATTTTGTTTGTTCGATTTGTAAAGAAGCTGGGATCATCGATTCCCAAACAGAACTCCTAATTCTGTTCCCTAGTACCAACAACGGACGACAGCATTTCTAAAAGTACATTTCCTTTTCCTAGTCTCTATCTGTCCAAAAGAAAAAATCTAGAAAGTTTAAGTTAAACAGAAATCACCTTTTTTACCTGTCTCCCTCATTCAAGATAAGACTTGTCTAGAACGGCAGAAACTGCCTAATAGTTTGCTGACCTTTCGGGGCTACCAACCTCAAAATTGAAACAAGAGGTGGTCTTCAATCTCACGTATTTAATAAGATAACTTTTCTTACAGAAAAATTAATGTTCTCAAACTCATTTAAAAGGAAAAAAAAAAATATTGTTTGACTACCATACAACACAAAATTCCCTCGATGATGATATCTATAAAATTCTGAAGAGTATGGCTGTTCTCTCACATAAACTACAGCATGTTCAGAAGCACTAGCCAATTCAAAAGCAACTCTAAACTCTTCATACACTGACAACTATATTTCCGGTGAACAATTATTATAAACTAAAGAAGAAAATGGAAAACTATGGAGTTAGATAAGAGGAAAAGAGAAACATATATATCATACATCCAAAACAGAGTCAATATTTCGCCAAGATCAACATGATCGAAGCAAAACAGGACCCACTGTGGAGCTCAGCATATCACTGAGAGCTACCTGGACCTCATTCGAACCATGCTCACAACTTATCAAGCTCGAAAGAAGTGGGAAGAACAGAGGTAAGTTCTTCTCGAACAAAGTGTCTCCCAAGCTACAAATGGCCTGGAGAGTCGCCACAATAAGAGGTGCGCGGGCAGCCAATTCCCTTCGTTTTCCAGAACCTAAAGGAACCATCCATTGGGTTTGCCCATTGAGAGATGTTTCAGAAGTCTGTCCAGAGCAAGCAGTTTCTATATAAAACAGTAACACCTCCTGGCAAAGATCAACAAGATGTGACTCGACTTCAGCCTCCTCATACCTAGGAGGCCTATCCAATATCAGATTCTGCAAGAAAGTTAGGCAAAATTGATACGACTCATTCTCAAGACGCAATAGTGGAGGATCCTGCATTTGGGTCATGGGACCAAACTCTTGAAGCTTGGAACGTAGTATAGTACTGTTGTTGATCCTGTGAGCATGGGATGCAACATCATGCATTGCATCAAAGAGGACTAAGGTGTTCTTAGCTGAAAGGTGAGTTCGATACATGTTGTAAATTTCCATCACCGCCTGTCAAGAGAATAAGAACAGCAAAATCACACCCAAGAGTCACAGTTAGACCATTTCAAACTCAAAATAAACATATTTTTTAGTTAGATATTCAGGCAAATATAAAGGAAATGAAAAAATGTAGGGTCAATTAACACTTGCTTATTTTGAAAATTTGCAATTTCAAATACAATCCTCAGAAAAATCAGCCTATGTTCTATTACTCAGACAATTTGATTAAACCTTTATATAAGTCCAAACGCTGGGGAGGAGGAGGCTTACATCCAGGAAGTTAAATCGGATAAATCATACTAGATCCAAAGCCATAGTCCAAGATATGGAAAGCAATCCATAGTTGCACTACTTCTCTTTCCATCAGCATAGGATACACCCGTAAATTAATTCCAACAGCAAATTGTCTTAAAAGGACTAAAAAGATTTAATTTCAGACAGTTTCAAATATCTTTACACAATAACTTTAGCACTCTAATTTTAAAAATCCAAAGAAAGAAAGAAAGACAAATACCATTCCCAGCACATCCATTTTTACTGACCATGAAAAAACCTCGTCTAAGTCCAGAAGGAGTCAAAAAGCACTAGAAGAGACAAGTGCTCAAAGGCTTGTTGTTTATATCACAAATGCCATTAAGCATTAGCAATACCTTTTGCAAGTCTGAATACTCCCTCAACTCCAAAATGATATTAAATTAATTAAAGAAACAAAGAAATGAGAGACTGTATTTCCATTCTATTTCTTTACTACTTTATGATATGAGAAAAGGCTTTCTAATCATTATTCAAAATTAAGATGAACAGTCTACCTGTATCAATAAAAGCTGAACAGCAGCTCGGCACTTAGCATCAGATAAAGAAGAATAAAGACGCTGTGTTCTCAGGCTCTCTGAATCACCATGAGGTGTGTCAGAACTAGTAGACACCTCATTACTTTCGCCATTCAAAGCATGTTCTTTGCTTCCAACCATGCTATCTCCACTAACAACGTAGGAAAAATCGGGAAGTGTTGCCTTAGCTGCTTCTTTTAAAGAAGAAACTACTTCCAGCCACTTTTCCTCAGAAAAAAGATCACCAGCATTGCTCATCAAACGGACAAATGCAGCAATACCAATACCAGCTAGGCTTTGGTGGGGACGCTTGATGAAACTTACAAGTAAAGAGAGAACCTTTCTCAAAAGTGGATTGACAGTATTATAAAAATTCACAAAAAGATCTACAACTAATTGGAGTGCCAATGTACATGTCTCATAGAGCCATGCATCCTGATCAAGTTCACCCTCATCATTAACAATTCCCTGCTCAGGTGAGTCACCACCTGATGGATCAATAGCATGACGCACATAGTCAAATATTGGAAAAAGGACAGATTCGAACACCCTTTCCCACAAAGGCAGTGAGAAGAGGTGACCATGGTTGCGCAAAGTTTCAAACAGCACTTGCAAAGCACTCTTCCTAATTTCTGGCCTAGGGTCAAAGCTAAGTTCTGATAAACCTGCACAGCAAAATGTGATGTAAGTTAAGAACAGAATGCATTTCTAAAGTTTGAAGATATGAAACTCAAGCAAATTCAAATGCCTTGTAACATTAAAACAACTAGTTCATTTTTCCTTACCAGCCAACAAAGGAAACCAGAAATAGAGATGACCATCCTTATCCATTAGCTCTCCATTATCTTGTCTTCCATCTTTTCCCTTGTGAGGTGAAGATGGAGAAATCTTCCCAGATTCCTTATCCTTATTCTTTGATGAAGAGCCAAGATCCCCTTCTGCAAGTTTGGTCGCACAGAAACGTAGAAAAGCAATTGCATTGAGACTAATGTCTTTGTTGAATCTACTATTGGTGAATGCAATTAAGCAGTTCACACAATCTGTGAATGTGGTTGTTTCAGTTTCAGTAATGTATGGGAAATAGTCTCGAATAATCTTCTCCATTATTTCAAAGGCTAGCAGTACAATGTTTTTGTGGTCGTCATAAGCTGCAGTAGTGAAAACCTGAAAAAGATTCAGCTCAGTAATAAATTGATTAAAGATTAAGGTGTCCAAAGCTAGGATCAATATGATAGTTATTAAAAATTCAATACCATGAACATGCTCTTCCATCCTGACTTGACATGATTGACACGAGATAATACCATCTGTGAGACACATCTGATGATTAATTCTCGGATTTCAACAGCACTACTCTTACGCATAACAATGACAAAAGGCTTCATAAATTCATTCTGAAAATTGTAATTAGCCAACTCTTCTCGCTCCAAAAATTTCATCGATAGCTGCCGTAAAGAGTCCATTGCAAAAATTGCAATTGACAGGTTTTCAGAACAGCCAATGGTCACAAAGAAATCAGAAAGTACAAGCCAGATGCTTGACCATACAAGCCTGATCCGGTTCATGTTATAGTGCCTGTCAATTGATCACAAAATTTACAGTTAGAAACAATAAACAAATATACTGCACTAAGATACACCAATGAAAGAGAAGTGGAATGATTCTTACGCAATCTCAACAATCTTTGTAAGGCTAAAAACCCGAGGATCAGATGTAGATCGCAACTCCTCCATGGACACCTTGCATAGAGCCTTAACAAAATCTATGATAGCCTCACTATTCAATTTTTGACTACGTGTGAATATACGATTCATTTCAGAGCTTCCAACTTGTTCTAGCATGTTGAGATTAGAGACTAAATTGTTCATCTGTTCAGATGTGACAGCCCCAGCAGTATTGCCTCCAATACCAGCACTATCATATGAGCCCCTCATCACAGCAGCAGCAGCATACTGAATTCTTCCTGGTCCCTTCTTCTTTAAAACAGGAAGGACAGCTGACTTAGCTTGCTTAGATTTTTCTGACTCATTCTGAGGAAAGGCAAAGAAAGTGGCATCTGGAGGAGCGCCCTCTCCCAAGAGATGCAAATGCTCAAACCGGGACACACATGTCAAAATATGCTCCCAAGCTTCTTGTAAATAATTTCCATCTTCATCTGCAATTGTAACTATTGCCTATTAACAATGTAAATAGCAAATTCCATGTTAGATCCACAAGCAAATGGAAAGTTGTTTAGAGTTCAAAAATAAACTGTTCAGAAATTTTAAAGTAAATGGATCTCGTTAACGAGTGCATTAAGGCCACTTTTTAAATTCTCTATTCAAAGAATAACTTCATTTAATACATGAAGAATAATCACATTCAGTCTGGGCAAGCCGACCATTCATTTTCATCTCTATACCAAAGGTTACAATGAACATCAGCAATGGCTAAAACAAAATAAATTGTTCTTGCTGATGTGAATATACTGTGTCACATAGTTTGCCAGATTACAAGCATTTGAAAGGGGTATAGTAAAAAAGAAAAAATCACACAAATTAAAACAATATAGACTTTCTTGGAATACAAATAAAAAAAGATTACTACAACATATGCAGTGCAGATGAGCAAAATACCAACCTTGATTGCATCTATATTTTTCTGCTTAATATCTGCAGGAGAGTGCAGCGAAGTAAACTTTGCTAATGAAGTCACAAAAGCATCTCTATGAGTTTTCATGGACATCACAGCAGTGACGTGGATTGCATAACGGAAGCCTTCAAGACACAATGCTATCACTACTTCATCATCACTTTGGTCAAGAGGCACACTGAAGGCAGCTAACATAGGAGCCCAGCATGCCTCAACCATGAATCTGAGAATCACCACATCTGTGGCTGCATAATAAACAGACCTACATATTGCCAATAGAATGGAAATCAAGGGGTTATCAAAAACAAAGTTTCTTCTTCAAACAGGAAAGGCCACATTTCAGGAAATGTGTTGCTAACTGAGGGGGGAGAAATCCCATTAAAGTACCACAAGGTAAAAGTGAAAAATATCTAAATTAGAATAGAATATAATACTTGTAACATCTCAACACAGTAATAAAGCTTAAACCATTAAAATATTGAATGACAATACCATCAAAATTTCAGCCTATTCTAGAGACATAGATAGGATGGGTTAGTAGAGCATCAATATAAAAGCTTAAAAACCAGTTGATCTTACTCAGATTTGCGAGCTTTCTCTTTAAATTGTTCTTGCATGTGCCTGATAAGATCATCACTGGTCTCCATATGCTGGTCTTCATCACGTTTACGTATTACAATGTTCAAGATACTGTCCAAACCTAATATTTTGTTGGAGTTCACTGACTGCTTCTGTTGCACAGACAAATCATCTTCTTTCATTTTGATCTCATTTCTTGATATCCGTTCAAATAATGATCTCAAGTACTCTTCCGGCAAATCTTTTCCATCATCTATGCCACGATTGTTTCTTATGAAATCATCAGCTGACATCTGCATATTTCAATTTAGGAAAAGGGGGAACTTCATCAATATTCTTGCACTAATTGTCAATAGGATCAGATAGAGAATATATATGCACCTTGTTCTTGACCATAGGGTTATGAGCATCGGTATTGAGCATTATGACAGAGTAAGCAAGAACATAAGCTGTATCAGCACTGATGAAAGCCTTTGGGTTACATTTGCAGTACCGTTCAGCAAACTTTTCCATGATTCGATCAATCTTTTGTGCCTCACCAGGCAATCTAAAACCTTGCAAAAAGGCTCGGATTGCCTCATCAAACTCCATGCCTTGAAAGTCAAAGGAGTCAACATAGGCATGCATCACTTTAAGTGATAAATCCTCCCTTTCTCCAAGATAATCACCAATCAATGTTTTGTTCAGACCAGATGCATTTTTTAGAAAAGCAGCTATCTCCTCTGGGGAGTCACCAACCTTATTAGCTTTAATTAGAAATTCAATTCCTTTCTTAGGTTTCCGATTAAATAGCGATATACCTTCCTGCCACAAATTTTAAATTGGATGTCATGAATGATGATCAGCTAAAATGATGACAAAGTTAGACCAGTTTACCATACATCATCTATGCAACATACCTGAAGTTCAAGCTTGTAAGCTCGACGTTGCTCAATTGTCAAAACATCAGAAGCTTCACTAGAGGCTTCAGAATGAGAATCTGATCCTTCAACAGGCTCATCCCCATTCCCATTCGCCATGGGGACATTTCCAGGTTCAGGACTGTTCTCAACTGCTTCAGATCTCTTGGTAGAATGAGAATCTGGAATGCGCAACTGTTTGTTCATCCAGTCTCCCATTGATTTTAAAATAGCCACTAAACACTTCATAGCTTCGAGTTTCATGGTTGCTTCCTGGGGTGGCAACAGTGTTGTAGCTGTGCCAGGAGGAACACCTTGAGCTGTTTTCAGAAGTCCATTGACCATTCTGGAAAGAACCATAATGACAAAATGGGAAATATGCAAACGTTATTAACTTCTACCCAAAAAATATGTTGTTATTGTTGATAACATAATAAGAGTAGGGAACATTACCTCTCAAATATGTTTGATGAATTGACATCACAATCATAGTTGATAAAGATATCTACCAAGATCTGTGAATCGACACAAAGCTTGTCGAGAAAACGAAGAACTATCATCTTTTGCTGAAAATTAGGTTGAGCAACATTTTCCAAGACCCGGAGAACAATCATAGGAAAAAATACTCCAATCTCTGCTTTCAATCCAGCTCGAAACCTTGACACCAGACTAATAAAAATGGAGCAAGAAAGCTGGAAAACAATCATAAGAGTCGAAGCACTGTTTTTCAATAGTGACAGACACAAGTATTGCTTTATGGCACCTAAAAACCTGTACCACCACAAGCATATCCACAAGAAAAAAATTTCAATATCAGGACAGGTACTGAGCAAACAAAAAACTGAAATGTGTAAAAAGCAATAAAATATTACGTCATTTTTAAACAAGGAAATTGAAAATATTATATGTACTCCCCCCATGTTAAGGCATGGAATTTATCATTCAAAAATCAAAATAAAAATAAATAAAAGCAATCTCAGTATAAAAATACAATTAAATCTTCCACAGGAATCAAGAACTAAAGGTGCTGCTGCAATACGAATGCAAACAAAAATGTAAATGAAATAATGCCAACAGACAAATGCACCACAACTCTCCAAAGTAAACAGAGGTGAGGAAACTAAATTGGTGAATAAAAAGACACATCAATAAAACACCCAGAGCAATCAGCCAAATGTTCAAGGGTCCATGACCACAAAGATTACCTCATAAGAGGGTTTAAAATATCCAGTGAAATTCTACACCAGAAAGATTTACTTCAATGTCACCTTCTCAGTAAAAGCCATCTCAGATGTTTTAAAATGCTATTATGTTTTTGCCAATCCTCCAAGATCCTAACTAAGTGCCTACACCTTACTATTGTTTCTGGATGTAAAGTATATCCAGCACATATTTATCCTCTAGTGCATACTAAATACCTACATATGTAGCAAACTAATATTAAGAGGGCATATCAGGAGTTACATATCACATTTTCCATGCACTTAAAGTAAAGCAAATGAACAATTAAAGCCCTAACCTGAAGGAACTTTTCAAAATGCAAATTAGTATAATCAAATAAAATCAGAGAAATCTATGCAAAAAGGGCTCACTAAGATACCTTTCACTTGTTCTGAAAACAGCTCCAGCATTCTCCAACAAAATCTTCAACAACTCAAGCGCCACAATCTTCCCTCTCATCAACTGGGGATCTGCCAGAGCCTCTTTAGGCGGTGTCTTCATCGACAACTTGCAAAGTGCTCTAAACACCAAAAACGCATCCCTTCTCAACTTATTCCCAATCTGAACCTCCAAATCATCATCTCTCTCTACTTCCCCATCTGCCAACTCTCCTTTCCTCCCTTCCAGTGCTGTCTTATACATACTAATCTCCCAATATTTCGCATCCAACATATCCTTATCAGTCGAATCCAACAAATCAGCCGGATTTGTGGTTTCAACAGTGGTTGTTTCAAATGCACCATCGTGGCCACCTAAAGAAACCTTACTTGGCGCCACTGGATTCAACACTCCGTCAATGTCCTGCATAATTTTAGTTATAAAACCTTGAACAAACTGAGTCATTGATCCATCAGCATCTGATTTCTCAACTGGCTCCATCAATTCAGCCACTACAATAGGCTGAATTGGGACTGTTGATGAATCAGCCTCCATCCTCCTAAAAACAATCACTAACATTTGAATCAAAGAGGCTTTTGCCGTAGTTTGATTAACCACATTTTTACTCCCTAAGTAAATATCATAGCAAGTCCTCACAATTTGCAACAAACAGTCACCGTGAATTCGCAGTGAGATGGAAGTTACCGCGGATAAAAGCGTTTTCAAAACCAATAATTCAACGGCATCGTCGCCTAAATCGTGGCATTTACAGACGGATTCAATCAATTTGGATAAGAGCTGAGCCTCAGGGCCTCCAGTGGGGTCCGCTTCGCCGCGTAGGTAGCCATAGGCGATTAACTTCTGGATGCAATCAACGGCTGGATCGACGATCTTATTGAAGGCAGTGGCGCAAGCGTTGATCAGAGGGCTGAGAATGGTCTCTGATTCAGCGAGGGAATATTCTACTGGGCCGCCGTCGTGTAGTGGTCCAGGGATCGAGCTGTCGGGCTCCGAATCTGACGGAGAGACAGGCGACTTCGTCGGAGAAGTGAGTCTTTCGAGAAGAGATTTGCATTGGTGAGCGAGTTTCGAGTGCTTCCGCCACGAAGCGTTCTTGATGATCTTCTCTAGGGCTGGGGCTACCACTTGGCTCATGCGGGAATCGGCTTCCGCAGAAGCCATTCCCGAGTGGGATATAACACCTCACTCACCAACTCAGATCTAGGAAATGGACAACGAAATGCTAGGGTTCGTTTTATCTCTCTTTACTTGGGAGCTGAGCGAATTATCTGAGTCAGAAATGGAGTCAAGTCGACTCGGTGAGTCTACACGGTTGCTGGGGTTCGAATTGCATAAGAATTGGAAACGAAGAGTAAAAGGAATGAGGAGGAGATGAAAGGAGAAGAGTGAATTGTTTTGATACACGGGCAGAGGGCTTGAGATTCAGATCGAGCTTTGGTTTGTTTGTATTTTATCAAAGTCCAAGTTTGAAAGCCAAAAGACTTAAACGCCCTTTCTTCGCAACGGGCATGAGCTGCAATAAGTGGAGTTAACTTAAACATGTTCAATGGTGAACAGTGATATTACGACATGAAGGAGGGCAATTCGGGTATTAAAGGATTGAGTATATCATAATCTTTCTGATCATCGGCGGGCGACTCTTGGACTAGCTTCCCGGCTATTTCCTATGAACAAATGTCAATTAAACTCATAAAACAATATAAATAATAGCAATTAAAGTAATGAATAATTAATTAAACTGTAACATTAATCGTATTGTAATTCAATGTATTTATATAAAAGTAAAATATATTTTATTATTTAAAAAACTTATTACAATTATTTAAAAATATTGTTTCCTTTAATGTTAAAATATGTTTGTTTATTTAGTATTATTTTAATTATTTTTAGTATTTTTACATTAATATATATGTTAAATAATAAATTATTCTTCTTGTAGTTAGTTAATTTTTGTTATTAGTTATTCACTCTAACATTTATTAAGTTTGTTATTATATTACATAATTCAAACCTAATAAACCTTCTAATAATCATTACATTTAAATATAATTTCAACTTAACAAATTATTTTGAATCAAACCACTCCTCAAACTCATACAACCTACCACAATCCAACGTAAATAAAAAATAATAATTAATGAAAATAATAAAGACTCCCTTTTGTTGAATTCATGGCTTTGGGCAAAGTCTTTTCCTTGAAAGGTTACAATAATAATTTTCTATGACTTGAGGGTTTTTCCGTGGAATAGTATATTGTCATGTCACTTTGCATTTACTTTTCATTGCAATATATATGCTTTGCTTCAACAAATTGGATAAGCATATGCCTTATGAATATGATGACATTTTTATGAAATTGGGAAGAGGTTCCCGTCTTTTCAACCTGTTGTCTTAACCATGAGTTTCTCTTTTTTCTCTCTTTTCCCTGTGGAATGATAACAAAATGGATAGCGATAGCTTTAATTGCCACCTTGTCCAATCCATTGAAAATCCAATGCTCAATGTTGAAGGAGCCTTTGGGTTTTACTCTGGGCTTTAGCCCATTGTGTTGTTCTTCCCTGAAAATCCCAGAACTTGAAAGACATCCGTTCGTCCCATTTACTTTTATTTGTTTTTTCAGGAAACTGTGAAGCCTTCTATTAGGTATTTGCTTTTGAACTTTCTTTAGTTTTGGTTGTAATGATGGTCACCTCTGCTCGTAATATGCCTTCTTGTTCTTTCTCAACATACCCATTTATCAACAAAATCCAGAAGCAAATTCACCCACAATCTTGGGGAAACAGAAACCCGTTATTATTCCAGGAACGACCAGCAAAATTCAGTTCTTGCAAGGTCAAAAACCAGCTAGAAATGGCCTCCAGCAATGTAGAAGAAAGGGGAAAACCAGAAACAAACGAAGAAAAGAGAAGGTATAACTGGGTTGAGATTGGTCCCGATATTGCAGAAGAACAGAAACAAGCAATTACCAAACTTCCATTTAAGATGACCAAGCGATGTAAGGCTTTGATGAAACAGATTATTTGTTTTTGTCCTGAAAAAGGGAGCTTGGCGGATTTGTTGGCTGCTTGGGTTAAGATTATGAAGCCCAGGAGAGCTGACTGGCTTGTGGTTCTTAAAGAATTGAAGATAATGGAACATCCTCTTTATTTTGAGGTATGGATGACATCTATTAATCAGTTACTTCATTTTCTTTTAGTTTAGTATGATATTAGTGAGAACAATTGCTTGAGATTCATGTGAATTAGTTGAATTGTACTGATTTATCAGCTTCCTTGAAGTAATAAGAAGTATAATGTTAGAAAAGTGTACTTTCCATCGAAATTGTCAGTCCCAACTCTATTCATTACATAATTCTGAAATGAAATGGTTGTCCCCTTCGCCTTACTTGCTTGTTGCTTTGCTCAATCCTCAATTGAGGAGAGTGGAGAAGAGGGCATTAGGAGAGCATTTGCAAGTGTAATGTTTCTATGCATGTATGGTTAGTGGACTGGAATAATCTCTTGTGTATACAGTACTAGGACTGGTTATTGGTCTTTAGCGGTACATTGACCTCTATATGATGATGGTAGTATCAGCCGGTTAACTTAATTAGATATTATAAATTCGAATTGAATCTCAATGGCATGTTTATGAGAAATAAAAACTACTTGTTTTCCATTACTGGTTTGTTACTTCCTTGGGTTCTGAATTCAAAGATCCATATGTGCACATGCCAGTTAGAAGAAGGAAATGATGTTTGTACAGCCTATGTTTAATCCATGTCTCTTTGTTCTTTATCTAGGTGGCTGAGCTTGCCCTACTTGAAGAATCTTTTGAAGCCAACATTAGGGATTTCACTAAGATAATCCATGGTTATGGGAAGCAAAAACGGCTGCAAGAAGCTGGAAACATTCTTGTTGCCATGAAGAGAAGAGGTTTCATCTGTGATCAGGTAACTCTAACAACCATGGTTCACATGTACAGCAAGGCTGGAAATCTTAAGTTGGCTGAAGAAACCTTTGAAGAGATTAAGCTGCTTGGCCAACAACTGGATAAAAGATCATATGGCTCAATGATCATGGCTTACATCAGAGCTGGCATGCCTGAACAAGGAGAGGTTTTGCTTAGAGAAATGGATTCTGAAGAAATTTATGCTGGAAGTGAGGTTTACAAGGCACTACTGAGAGCATACTCCATGCTTGGTGATGCCAATGGTGCACAAAGAGTGTTTGACGCCATTCAGCTTGCAGGTATTTCTCCTGATGCTAGGCTGTGTGGACTCCTAATAAATGCCTATCAATTGGCGGGTCAAAGTGACAAGGCACATATTGCTTTTGAGAATATGAGGAGAGCTGGTCTTGAGCCTAGTGATAAATGTGTAGCTCTGGTGTTAGCTGCTTATGAAAAGCAGAACAAGCTTAATAAGGCCTGGGACTTCCTGATGGAATTGGAGAGAAATGGAATTGTGGTTGGGAAAGAAGCTTCGGGTATACTTGCTCAATGGTTTAAAAAGCTTGGGGTAGTCGAACAGGTTGAACTTGTCTTGAGAGAATTTGCTGCCGAAGAAACCGATAGCAAAGTTCCTGCCTCCTAATTATCTTGTTGCCAAGTTCTAAGAACTGGATACATCCTGAAATTTTCCTGACCCTTGGCATCTTTTAACGGTGATGGTTTATTGCCTGATTTTAGCTAAAGAGATTTGCCTGTGTACATATTACTCTTAACAACTTGGTTAATGTCTCGGTCCGAAACATCTGGATTGTTGTGATCACTATTAAGAACTTGGGCCTAATCTGCATAGCATTTTCTGTCGATTGTTCTGGACATTTGGGTCCGGTTAAAACTCTTCATGGGTTCGCACGTCTCTATCTACTTAGACCGACTGGCTGGAGAGCTGAAATGGGTTCGGTCTAGTTTGGGCTCATGTTTCTGTGTTTAAAGCTTTAAACCTAAGATCAAAATTATGTCACTTATAATTATAACATTATTCAATCACAATCCCGAAGTTTCTACTTATAAATGTGAATTTTAATATTTTTTGTTGTCATTATGTGATTATCATGCTATAATTAAAAGAATTGCTGTTGAAATATTTTCGTAATTGATATAATTTAGGCCTCCATAAATAAGACTAAAATTTGAATTTCACTGATATCTCAAAAAAGGGAGAAAAGGAGGAGGGAAAAAAAATATGGCCAGATTAGTTATTAAGGTTACTTGCCCAGTGAAATATAACAGGAAAATGAAAGCTCCCTTGCTAGCTAGTTTGGGTCAAGAGAGATTTTTCAAGGCAAGTAGACACTAGGGGAAAGGGTCAGTCTTCACTTTGAGAGAGATTGTGATGGTGAAGCATCGGTGCATGGCAAACAACCATGTTGAGGAGACCCTTGTCTGTGGAGGAGTTCACGAGCCAACGCATGAAGATCGCCGCTACCGGTTAATGATGATGAGCCGCTCCCTCCAAATTGGCGTGGATCGATTTGCCTCTGCTGCATGCCCCATGAATGTTGCACCACGGGATCAAAAAGTGACGATAAGTCGTACGTGGCAGGCACGGTCGAGACTGATGGGAGGTCCGATATGGAGAGAGGAGGTGGTGCCATCAGCGTTGTTGAAGGCGGAGGAGGCGGCGGCGGTGATGGAAGCTCTAGCGTAGCTAAGTGGGCTTGTAAGTACGATAGCTCTGCTTGCAAATTCACCACCTGCCAAAACAGTCACCAAAAAAAAAAAGGAAAATGAAATAATGGGAATTAAACAATAAATTCGAGATAAATTAAATCAAGGCTTGGAGTCTTTGTTTACACTAAAAGGATGCTCGGGTTATGTGCAGGAGAACATGGGGTTGCGAACAAACAAAGCTTTCTCATGGCAAAGGAACAAGAATGCTGACTGCACAGAATTTCAATGGCATAATTGCCAAGCTAGTCAGCAAGATGATGATTAGTCATTGCTAATCCACCATTAATTACACACTTAATATTTTATCGGTCCAATTAAGATATTAAATAAGATTTGGAAACAATATGCTTCGTACGTGACAAATTATAATAGAAGTTTTTATGAACAGTTTCATCTATATATTAATTAATTAAACAAATAAGCTACAGCATCCAAGTCATTCCCTTTTTTTTTTGGTCATCGGTCGCTGTTGAAGAAAGAAGCAACTCCATCTTTTCAGGGAAGCGAGAGGTTTATATTTGCATTAATTGATCTATTTACTGTACTGGAGTTGGGAAGATAACAAATTCTTTAATGGGGAAGAGCAAACAACTTTTTGGCCCTTGACATAAACCCAAGCTTTCAAGAACAAGAAACTGTAGCTATGAAATGAACCCCAAACAAAATAAAAAGGAAAAGGAAAAGAAAACCGACCATTTCCTTAATACCTGCAAAATCCAGAATTTGCACAAAAACAAAAGGAAAAAATATATATGACTGGCTATATTACTTTGAGGTAACCGCCGACCAAATGATTTGTTAATGAGGAAACGTATCTTGATTTCAGCAAAGTGTGCAAAAAACCTGTACCCGAAGCAGCATGCCCCCCATACATTTTTTCTTCTTCACCGTAAGTAGGATTTCTTATCCCATCAAGTCCTTCTGAGATGGTGTGAAAAGGATAAGGGGTGTTTGGAGACTCCCTTACGATGGTTTATATGCTTCCTCGTTTAGGTCATGTCGAAGCCAATGCTATGCTAAAGCTATGTATAAACTGAGTCAACCTGATCATCCTTTGGGAAGATACATTACAAGAAGAGGCTTAAACTAGATTGATTCTAATCAAAACGAAGAGAGTCAATGCCCATTTCACTACAAAGACAAAGTTTTAACTTGAAAATGGAAGTTCTCAAAGGAAGAAAAGGTTCCGGGATTTACTTGAAAAAGCAGAGGGTAAAATTAGAAAGAAGACAAATAAGAGCAACAAACAAAACTAAACTGCCCTGCTAAAGGTGCCAAAGATGACAATCCTTATCAAAAGATTAAAAAAGAGAAACAAGACTGGTATTTACCTGTTGTTGAAGAGCAAAGATGTGAGCAACACAGCCATAAACAGGATCTCTAAGCCGAGCCTGAGCCTCGTAACATATGGTAACCACCGCATCAAGCCGTTTGTGAACAGGGATATGAAGAAGCAGCTTCGACACATTGCTCGCCCCAAAAACCTTATGAACAGCTGCAAAATGGGCTGCACCTTGCTCCGAGTCAAAATAAGGGGCAAAGATACAACCAGGCACACATTTCCTTCTCAAAAACTTGCACGCGCCACAAGGTCCACCACCAGCACTACTGCAACTGCCAGCACCACTCCCTACACTACCACCGCTGCTGCTAGGGTTTGCACTCATGATTTGGAACTCTTTTAATTTGTTCTTCCTTTCCTTTTTAAAGTAGTATAGGTCCCATCATTAGGGTTTGTGGGGTTCTTCTAGAAGTCGAAATAGGTGAAGAAGAAGAAGGAGAAGGAGAGGAGATGTTTTTTGTAGGGTTTGGTTTGGTGGGTGTTGGTTTTTTGGGTATTTGGGGGTGGTGATGGGTATTTTAATGGGGGATTTAAAACGCTAGAAGAAGTCTTTAAAGCCACGCGAGAGAGCAAACCCTCCTCCCATTTAGCTGCTTGCGTGAAGCAAACATGCGATAAGCCTAGCTATATTCTCAACTGTCCTTTTTTATTTTTATCTTTTTTTTCTCCATATATCTTCCTTTATCTCGTGAATTTTCTAACAAAACACATGCTCTTCTTCCTCTTCTCTTTTAAAAGCTCCCTCCCTCCCTCCCTCTCTCTCTCTCTCTAGTTTCATTTCATTTTATATATATATATAGATATATATATATATGTATAAACTATTATCTTTTTTTACAACTGTGCTTTCGCCTACATCTGAATCTGTCTTGCAATCAAAAGAGAATAGATTTTAGATGTCGAAACGTGTCATTGGGGTCTGTCTATTTTTGCCACTGCGTGTTTTAAGCTGCGTAGAGGGCAAAAGACGCCAACTCTCTTCCCCCCCTTCTCTCTCTCTCTACGTTGAAAATGACTCAGCCATTGCTTTCCTTTTCCATATAATAAGCCAAAAAAAATCCATTGGATTTTTTAGAATGACCCACAGGTTTATTTTTCATTTAATTTCGTCTTAACTATTTATAGCAGTTCCTAATAAATGATGGGAGGGGTGTTTTTTCCAACTCAAAAAGAATATAGAACTTTTTCTTTAATGGATGAGGAAAATAACCAGTAAAGTGATTAAACTTGGGGAACTGGATTTGTCTAATCGATTATATCCCTGTCAATTCTGAATTGGCTTGTGTTGTGGTTACTTTTACAAAGGGAAAGACATGATCACCCATCTCAAGCTAGCAAATTTCTTACGGCATAGATTTCAGTATCTTTGGCTTTCGATGTCAGGTAAGCTCGCATCAGGAAAACCTCGAAATGGAAGTGTTGATGAGAGCGTAATGAGTTTGATGATGACAAACAACAACAACAGTGATTTTGTGGTGGTGGCGATCATCATTCTCTTCTTTTTCACCCTTTATATTATACGGCTAAAAGGAACCAAAGAAAATGGAAAATAAAAAGCCTCCTATTTTTGTTTAATTAAATTTAATTAGCATTATTTACTTAAAATAGAAGATGCAAATTTAAAGTTTTTAAATCACGTATTACTTTCTTTGTTTTCCAAACTTTACCAATTAAGTTCGATTGACACTTTTGTAGATAACATTTATGCGTATTTCTTAAATAATTCCTTCTTGTTTGTATATATAATTTTTTAAAATCAAAACATAATTGATCAATAACTGATCTCATCTTGTAATTTAAAGTATATATAATATATTAATAATGCATAAATCATCTAACGTCATTGATATTCAATTTGATATTTTTTTTACAATTTAATGTCACATGTTTAATTATATACTATTTAACTCATTTCAAAAGATTGGATAGGTGGTGTAAAATTATGTAAAAAAAAAAAATTACCTTCCAAATAAAAAGTTGTAGTAACTTTTTTTTCAGTCTTGGTATCTCAATTGATGCTTAGTTTGACTCAATAACTTTATTTTCTTTTTAAAAAGGTGTATATGTAGCAGTAAATTATATGGTCTTTGGGTGATATTAAACCTTTGATAACTTATGCTTAGTAAACAGGATAAAAAAGAAAAATGAAAATTTATGTTTGTGGTGATCCTGGTTGATGAAAGGGATGGGAGCCAAAAAGCCCATGAAAAGGTCAAAACTCAATTTCGGCGTTCAAAGCAGCAGCATGAGCCATTCGAATGTGTGACCGCCACGTGTGAGTCCATGACAAAGAACGTAACGGCTTGGTAAAAGCATGAGCTCATTTTTTTTCAAGTGGGACCCATCCGCCGTTCACTTGAATGTAAAGTAACGTTCGTCTTTCTTCCCCTGTCTCTCAAATTCTAATTTAAAAATAAAATATAAACAGATTTTTTTTTGGACCTTTGAAAGTATTTCAATTGACTGAAAATTCAAAAAATATAGGAAAAAATTAAGATTAAAAAAGAAAAAAGAAACACAGTAAAAATCAGTAACAGTCCGTAACGGCGTGTCACCGCGCCGTCCGGCTCTTGTCCAATCCGTGTGTTGTGAAGAGGAAGCATTGACAGAAATCCTTTTCCAACCAGTAAAATAAAGACACTTGTCGTGAAAGTTCGACATTGATGACCGACGTATGACGTTCAAACAGTTCCACATGGTACGTCTCCTGCACCTCCTACGATGGCCACTCCCCGCTGTTCAGAAGAACAACATCTACAGCATTCAATCCTAGGAGTATAGCACTTGACCTTTTATTTTCCCCCCTTCATTCAAGGTTTTTCATTATCAATTTAAAAGATTCTTAATCGATTCAAATGGAATCATGGAATCATAGTTCAATAGTTTAATTTGTTCCTTTTAATAGTGAGAGATTTTAGATTCGAACCTTATGTCTTCCATCTGACATCATTTTTCTTCTGCAATTAGCAATAGTGCAAGTTAATTACTTGTTTTTTTTTTTTGTCAATGGATTGGGTATTGTATTGTGATGAGATGATTCTGATTTAATGTTTTTTTGAGCTGTTTTTTATTATATGGAAAGCTAAGAAAAGTAAATAGATTAATTAGTTTCATCTCAGTTACAATCAAAATAAGAAAATTTATGTTCATATATGCAGACAAACGTAGGAAAGAGTTGCCTTGCCTCTCTGTGTGGTAGCTTTTGATAATTAAATTGAAATCAATATTTATATATTTTTTTAAAATATTTTGACTAACAAATCAATATTTTTTAGAAAATAAACTATTCAAACACAAAGATTTCAACTAAAACAAGTGATAATCAACATATTATAATAAACAAGTTGATTATGATTATGATTTAACATGTAGGAAGTTCAAGTAACAAAGTTCCCACAAATTTTGGGAAAGCCCTCCACTGTCCAAGTAATCAAACACACATTAACGTTAAATTTCTTTAATAAATTGTCTCTCAAAAGTGTTAATCCATAGTTGTCTTGTAATTAGGCTCTGCCTAAACTTTAACTAACAGAAACAGTCTCATCAGAGCTCAATAATGTTAATTTATATTATTCTAATTAAGACCCCACAAGTTTTCCCACTCGTGCGGTCAAATACCTAGGGGGATAGGATTTATCTGGTTTAATTATGATTTGCTTTTACGAATTTTATGATCAAGGAAATGCATTATTAATTACAGGATGTCACCTTAAGATACGGCAAAGCAGCTGTCAAGTTTAATATATTAGGTTTAGACTTTATTATAGGATAAAAATTTCACATTATTAAAAGATTAAAACTTAAAAAAAAAAAGAAAAGTAAAAAGGTTTTGGACCAGGACTAATCATGCAATCTAAGGAGTACTTTTGCTTTTGATCTTTAGAAGTCAGGCTGGTCAAACTAATTAATGAAACCATGCAAGCTGATTTTTATATTGAGAATAAATTTATTATAATTTTAAAAAAGTGGGTTTTTTGTCATTCATTGTAAAAGATGTTACTTCATTATTTTTTATAATTTTGTTACTTGATAACATATGCTTACTCATATCAAATTGATTCTCATTTTTAAATATATATATATATAAAAGAATTCATTTTATTGCATAAATTACTTACAAAATCTACCATAGAACAGTAATATGCAGAATAGACACAGGGGGCAAAGCCTCCACTTGCACTTATCTACGTAAAAGAAACATAAAATTGTCTATTCTGATTGTATCCGAGATCAAACTAATCAAAATATCAACAATCCCTACTCTCGGCAAGATCAAACAAAGACCCTAAGGAGCACTAAACCAAATTCATACCATCACAACCGGCTTAAGTATATCCTTGTAAATAGATCTTTTTCAACTGAATTTAACCCTAGTTAAGTTATCTAAAATTAATAATTAAAGTAAATAAAAAAATAAATTGGAAAAACTTTTCGAGTAACTTTGAATTAATTACATAATTTTTATTAAATTAGTTTGGGTTAGATGAGTGTATGCTATCAATTCTAAGTTTTAGAAAAAATTACGAGGTGAAAATTATTTTATTTTATGATTCCAAAAATATCAGTGTTCTAATTTTTTGCTACAAACATGTAGAACCGTGCCAACTGTACTTGTACTGTAACCATCAAGAATTTGCATGACAACGAGGGGGTGGCCCCGTCAGCCTCCCGATTCCAGAAAGATCTGAAGATTTTCCATCTTCTTTCCTTTTAAGCAAATGGAAATTTTTGACCGATAATTACCCCTCACATCTCGATAATCAACTCGTTCTTGAGCAGTTTTTGCAAATAGTAAATGTAAAAGATTATGGATTAATTGGTTGATCTTATTAAGGAGCGGAGTTAACTGATTTTTAATAAGAGGTCAAAAATAAAAAATATTAAAATTAAAATTTTTAAAATTATTCATTACATTTAAACAATAATAAAAAACTTTATAATAAATAATAATTTTATATTATATGTAAATAAAATATAATAAAAAAAGTTACAAAAAAATAATATTTCACTATATTTCTTAAATTTATAAAATATAATACATAAAATATAAATAGTTAAAAATATATATAATTTTATAAAATACTTAAATATATAAATAATTAAATAATATAAATAAAAAAATAAACAAAAATTTTACTTTCTCTTAATTTCACGTAATAATGGTGAGTGGTCTTTATTCAAAATCACAAGTTCATAAATTTATTTTAAAAAATAAAGTATATTTCAATGATTAGTTACATAGAAAAAAGTAAAGTGAAAATAAAAAACAAAAGAGAAGAGAAAAAAAAATCCGAACGTACAGCTCATTAGTTACGAAATGATTTCTCGACTTAAAAAATAAGATTCAAATACTCTATTCAAATTTTTTTTAAAAAAAGAGAAAAAGTAAGAGAGGAAATAAAAGTGTGAATAAAATTAAAAATGAAGGTAAAATTGATTACTATTTATGAGATAATTTTATTATTTATTATTTATATTAATTATTAAATAAAAACTTATTTTAAAAATATTAAAAAATATATATATTAAAAATAAAATATTTAAAACTTTTTGAGAGTATCACAACCTCTATAAA